ACGCGTGGCCGGGCCCACGGAGGACTCCATGCCGTTAGGAGTTCCCGGTTGGGTCCGCCGGCGGGGAAGCTAGCGCCCAGACCTCAGCCCACAGCTGCCCTGCGCCCGGATCCAGACTGTGATGGCCTCGTGCCAACACCCTCCCCCCCAGCCCCAACAACACACACACACCTGGCCCCCACAACACACACACAGCCCCACCCAACACACACACCCGGGCCCCACAAACACACACAGCTCAATACACACCCGGCCCCCAAAACACACACACACATACACAGCCCCAATACACACACCCAGCTCCAACACACACACACATACACACCCAGGTTCCCAGAGCCCTGCCGAGCAGGCAGGGGCCCCACGGGAGCCCACCCCCGCCTTCCTTTTGCCCCCAGGCCCAGAAGGCCCTTGTCACTTCGCAGCTCAGAGATGGGCAGGGGACTGGCAGCCATGCCACAGGGGGACCCCTGCGACCCCTCTGCTCCTGGCCCGCACTCGCGAGGACCCCACTGCTGGCTCCTCCTGCTGGTGGCCTCGGGCAAGTCCCTCCACCTCTCTGGCCCTCAGCCCCTCTGCCGTGGGGTTGTGGGGGAGGAGGCCACGGGACGGGCAGGCTGCGGGCGTGTCCGTCACAGGCAGCTCACACTTCACGCAAATCACGGCGGCTGCAGGTCGGGCGCGGAGCCCTTCCCAAGTCCCCCAGCTCGGGGGGGGGGGGGGCACAGGCCTGCCCACCACTTCCTGCCGCCGCCTCCCCTTCCTCCTCGCCCTCCGGCCGAGAGGAAACCGCCAGCCCCGGCGGACGTCCCTGCTTTCGGCTTCCTCTTTCCCACACGGGCCCGGGCAGCGCCTCAGCTTCTCCCAGCCTCAGCGCCCTTGTCTGCAGAACGGGCGCGACCCAGCAGGCTCCAGTGTGCGCCCGCGCGGGGACGGACCCCATACCCGGCCACCGCGACCACCCCCATTCCACAGCTAAGAACGAGGCCCAGCAAGGCCACATCACCTGCCGTGGGCGCTCAGCGCAGGAGCAGAGAGGAGGCCGCTGTCTCCAGTGCCTGGCCACCTCCTCCCCGGGCTCCTGGGGGCCTGTGGTGCCAGCAGGGACGTGGACGGGCCCCGGGGAGTCCCCACCTCCTGTACTCCCTCGGGAAACAGGCAGGGCAGGCTAGGCCAGGACCACCAAGTCCTCCATGCCACGGAAGGGCTCTGGCCAGGCCCCTGGGCACAGGACTATGTGGCTATGGGCGCCCCGACAGATGCCTCCCCCAGGCGAAACTCCGCCACGGGGACGCACCAGGTACCAGGTTCCAATCCCCTCTGGGCCACTCACAAGCAGTGTGGCCTGGAGCAAGTGGCCTAACCTCGATGGGCCTCAGTCTCCCGATCTGGGAAATGGGCGTGATCACAGCAGCTGCCCTCACAGGGCAGTGGACCTGGGCTGTAACAAAGCCCAATTAGTGGTGGCTAAGTGGGATTTTTCCAGAGTAGCTGCACCTCCACGGTCGCCCCTGTACACAGGAGAGCAACTAAGGCTTGGTTCCCAGAATGCCAGGACCGGCAGGGTTTCAAGACCGTCTCGGCCAACCCAGACCTGGCCGGCCCGGTGCCGCCCCAACCAGGCTCCCGTAGTGGCACAGGCGCGGGCCAGCTGGGGTCCTCTCCTGGGGGTGCAGGCCTGACGCTGCCACACCCAGACTCCCCGAGAGAAACTGGAAGAACTGGAAGCTTGGGTTCCTAGGCGAAGTCACCGCCGCTGACCCAGGCAACCGACCCGACTCCTGTGAAGTCCTGTATCGGCCAGGTGCCAGGCACGCCCTGCGGCTCTGGGCCGAGCTGTCAAAGGGGCTGGGGCTCCCGGGAGCTACTCACGGGAGAGACCGAGTCCCACAGGCCCAGGGCACGCTTCTCCCCCAGCCCATGCCCAGAGGCTTCTGGATAAGGATCAGGCCACGCCCTGCCATCACCGCCCCCAGCAAGGCCCTCCCGAGCCCGAGCCCGTGAGGTCCTGAGCTAGCCCAGGCCCAGCCCTCTGTGGCCTGCCTGTCTCAGTGGCTAGTTCACGCCCACCCCACCCCACCCCCCAGCCTGGGCACTTGCTGCTCCCCTAGCCTGGGGCTGCCCCCCCACCAGATCTCTCTGCTCAGGGCCGTGTACTGACCACCCCGCCTCTTCCCAAAGGCCAATGGTTGGGGCGGCACCTGCTGCCCATTTCGCTGGCAAGGCCGGCACTGAAACCACAGAGCTATGGCTTCTCCACTCGCCCCTGACCTTGGGACGCAGGCACAGTGCTGGCCCCAACCTCCCCTCCCAGCAGGCCATGCACAGCCCCCGTAGCAGGGAGCTCCCCACCCCGCAGCCCTCGCTGGGCCCTGGGAGAGCTGCCCCTGTTACCCCTATTTTACATACAGGCAGAGCCCCGGACCTTGGGGGGAGCCCCGCTGTGCGCTCAGGTGCAGGCTGAAGCCCTCTAGCCCCGCCCACCGCCCGGCAGCCCTTCCTTTTCCCAGGGTTGGAAGTCACTTGCTTCCACAGCCAACTCCAGGGCCACAGGCCAGGGGTCGAGCTGGCCACCCGGCAGGGACATGCCAGGCTTGGGGTCTGAGCGCCCGGGCCCAGCCGCTAGGAGCTCTGCGCCACTCGGGGCAGCCGTCAGCTGGGCCTGACCCCACGCCACTGCTGCCGCCACCAGGAGGCCCCCAGGGCTGCTGGCTCCACAGCATCCAGCCCCTGGCACAGCCCGGCCTGGCTGGGCTGGGGGCCAGGGTCCTCCCCTCGCCCCGGCTTCGGCACAGAGGGAGAGAGGGCCCCAGAGAGTGGGGCGACCCGGGAACCTTCAAGCTGGGCGCAGGGCCCCAACCAGCTCGGGCAAGAGTCCCGGGTCCTCCTGGACACAGCGCGCGCGCGGCCTAGCGACCCAGTGCTCCCTTCCCCCAGCCCAGGGGCCTTCAAAGGTTTGCGGAAAATGGAATTAAAAGATAAGCTGATTTTTGAAATCCACCCATAGATCTTTTTTCAAAACATGCACTTCCCTTTATTTTCATTCTTGTTTGGAAGCAGAGGCAGAGACAGATCTTCCATCTGGTTCACTCCCCAAGGGCCCCCATCCGGGCCTCCCAGGGTGCCCCAAGGCAGGAGGAGGTGGGGCCAGGACTCAGAGCCAGGCAGCCATGCACCGGCTCCCGAGGGGCGTCCTTCCCAAAGACCCTGCTCGGGGGGCCTGGGACGGAGGGCGCTGAGCCCGGGCCCACCCGACTCCAACACTCGCCTTCCAGCGGGTTCGCTCGAAGCAGGATCTGCTCTTACAGCGAGGATTTTCACGGGGAGCCTGGCCACGGCCCTGAGGTTTCACGGGTGTGCCCACAGCTGGTGTGCCCACACTTGGTGTACCCGACTCCTCCCACTCCAGGCCCCACCCACATCGCTACTTGATGACGCGGGGAAGACACAGGTGCACAGCGGCGGGAAGACTGCGGGGGAGAGCTGCTCCCAAGCCTGGCACAGCTGTGGGGCCCCACTTCCCGGCAGACACGAACCCCAGGCGAGCGAGGGACCCGTGCCAGTGCCGAGGCAGCCCACGCCGGGCAGTGACGCAAAGCACAGGAGGCGCGCAGAGTGCACGGAACCTCTCACAGGTCACGGGACAGGCCGATCGGAACAGCACTTGGGGGGCGCCAGTTCGAGTCCCGGCTGCTCCACTTCCGATCCGGCTCCCTGCTAACGGCCTGGGAAAGCAGTGGAAAATGGCCCAGGTGCTTGGACCCCTACACCCACGTGGGAGACCCGGATGAAGCTCCTGGCCAGTCCTGGCCATTGCACCATCTGGGGAGTGAACTAGCGGACCGAAGCACTCTCTCTCTCCTTCTATCTCGACCTTTCAAATAAATTAAAAAAAAAAAAAGGCACTTCAGAGAGTGAGGTCCAGCGGCAGCACCCACACGCCTGCGTCCCCGGTGAGACAAACTGCCGCCACGGAGAGACCAGAGCGTACCCACGAGGGCGGCCGCACTGCAAACTCCCAACACCACGCGTTGGGGACGACACAGAAGCACCTGGACCCCGACCCCACCCTGGGCACGCAGAACGGGGCCACCAGCTCGGTCCCCGGCCACTGCAGCCCACGTGGCACCTGGGCCGCCACACACCCGCTTCTGCCCCCTGCCTGCCAGGAGGCGGGCTGCAAAGCTCCACCCCCCTCAGCCTTCGGTCCTTGTTCAATCGGCTGAGCTTGCCACACTCACCAGGTTAACCCTGCATGAGACCTAGCGGGGCCACTCCCGGGGACCCAGCAGAGAGAAGGGCACCTCCGGCATCCGTGCAGACTCCCAGTGCCGCCCCTGACCGCCCCCACCGACACCCAGGCGACCCAGTTCTGTGGCGGTCCAGGACACCGACATCTCACCCAGGGAGGTGCGAGGGGGCTGGCGCCGCTGGGCCACTGGGTGGACACGCTCCCGCCTGCACACCACGGCGCTGCGACACTTCTACCCGCGCCCCACGGAGTGGGACCCTCCGTGATCTCCCCCGGGACCCCGCTCGGCGCCCTCCACGCTGCCCTCGGTCCGTCTCGCTCAGGCTCACGGCCAGGGCTGCGCATAGAGACCAGCAGGGACCAAACGGAGACGCACGGCCCCTGGGACCCGGCACACCCGCCCCAGCCGGGCTCCGGGCGCAAACGGCCCAGCTTTTCCAACTCGAAAGATGACATCGAGAAACACGAGGGGGTGCGAAGGAACGTCCACCTGGGCCGGGGGCTTCAAGGACGCCCCCCCCACACCCACCCACACACAGCCCGGGGCAAGTCTCCCGCGGCGCAAGGGGGCAGCAGGGCGGCCGCACGGAGTCACCCGGGGCCCCGGGACAGGACGCCGCCGGAAGCTGCCGCCGGGCGGCCCAGCTCTGCAGCCTGCCCGTACGCCTCACGGGTCCTCCGACAGAGCCACCTGCGCACCCCGCGGTCCCCGTCCCCGCCCCCAGGTGCCGGGCGCCCAGCTGCGTACCTTGGGCGGGTCGAAGAGCTCCAGCACGCGGTCCGGGCCGTCGGGGCCCGCGGCGCGGCGCAGCGCCAGCCTCCCGCGCTGCCAGCACGCCCCGCTGTCCATGGACGCCTCGTCGGCCAAGCTGTACCGCAGCGCCGCCTCCTTGAGCGCCTCGGGCGGAGGCTCCCGCGCCAGGTTCCAAGGCAGGAGCTTGCGGGCCAGGCCGGGCCGGGCCGCGCCCTCGCCGGCCTCCCCGGCGGCGGCGCCCACGGGCAGCTCCCCGGCCGAGCGGCGGCGGAAGATGTGGCGGAGGCTGCGGCGCAGGTGCTGCAGGGAGCAGGGGCCGGGCGGCCGCGGCGGGGCCAGCTCCTCGGAACTGCGGGCCTTGGGCAGGGCCAGGCCGGCGGGGCCCGGGCCGGGCTCGGCGGTGGCCGCCTCGGCCTTGGCCGGGGCCCCGCGGCCCGTGTCGCGGTAGTCGCGCGCCGCCGCGGGGGCGCGGGCCCCGTCGCGCACCTCGCGGCAGAAGTAGCGCTGGAAGAGGTCGGTGAACTGCAGCGACACGAGCTCGGCGCGCAGCGGCGCGTGCTGCGGGTGCTCGCGGGCGAAGCGCCAGTACTGGCGGGCCAGCTCCCGGGCCGCGGCCACGGCGTGCAGCTCGCAGAAGTCGCTCCAGCCCCGGGGGCACGGGGCCGCCGCCGGGGAGGCCGTGGGCGCCGGGGAGGCCGAGGACGCGGAGGACGGCTGCAGGCTGGGCCCGTTCATGGTGGAGACCGACGTGGGGCGGCCAGGCTGAAAGACACGCGGGGGGCGGGCGAGAAAGGAGTGAGCAGCCGTGCCGGCGAGGCCCGAAGCCCCCCAGGACCCCAGGGCACGGAGTGGATACCAAGTAACCAGCAGGCCGGCCGCGTGCGGGGATGCTGCGGCCCGAGGGGTTGCACGCAGCGTGGTGCCAGCCCCAGCCTAGCACGTGGGAATTCTTTCTTTCCAAATCCCACGCTGGACGCAGGAAAGAGCAGCGCCAGATGTGGGACCGTGGATAAGGGGAGGGGCTGCCCGCACTTCCAACCACCGCCCCCAGACGTGTCCTTCACCCGCACGACGCCAAAAATCGGCTTGGCCAGCGCCACGCAGGGCCGCCACGCTGCGGGTTCCGTGGCGGGGTGCGGAATTTTTGGAGGGCCGCCTGGCAGGCCCGGTGTTGGAGCTGGAGTCCCACTTGGAAGTACTGAAGAGAGTGCAGGCGCCGGGTCACCTGTCTGCGGGACATTTCCTGCCGCCGCCTGAATGCCCACCTGACCAAGACCGAGCCGGCCCCCTCCAGGCCAGGCGAACGCACAGCCCGGAGCCAGGGCGCCCCCCACACACCCCCAAAAACCCACCACCCACGTTGTCAAGTACCAACGTATTCTCAGCTACTAACTTTTCTTTCAGTCTTTTTGTTTCGATTTTTATTTACCAGGCGCAGGGACTGACACAGAGATCCCCCCCCCCCAGATGCCTGCAACCACCAGGACCGCGCCCGGCCCGAGCCAGGAGCCTGGAACTCTGTCCCAGTCTCCCCCGGGGCTGGCGGAGGCCCAAGGGTGCCCGTTAGCAGAAAGCTGGACGGGAGGCAGAGTGGCTGGGAGTGGCCCAGGTGGCATCCCGCTGTGCCAAGTGCTGCCCACAAAGTTATAGGGGAACAGAACCGTGCTTCCAGGCTGGTCATGGAAGGCGGGCGGCGGCCACTGGCTGGGGACCCCAGCAGCGCCACGTAGCGGGGTGACCCTGCGAGTTCAGTCTCTCCACCCAGGAGAGGGGACCCGACGGCGCCCAGCCCATGGAGCCCTGGGAGCCAACGAGCACGCAGGGCCAGCCGCCGGGATCCTCACTGCAGTGTCCCCGAGGGCCAGAGAGCTGACACGCAAGAAGACATGAGTGGGAACGAGCCCGCCCGCTTTGTCCGCTTGGCCCAGGACTCACAGCTCGCCCGCTGGGCAAAGGCGGGGGTCCCTATGCGGCGTCTGCTGCACGCACCGGGCCACAGGGCTGCCCAGGCTCCCTCACTGCGGCCGTGGGGCCGCCCACAGCAGACAGGGCTCCCACCGCGGGGCGCCGCAAGGAGCGGCCCCGCCACCTCACCGCACCTGTCACTGCTCCCACCTGGCAGGCCGGGAACCGTGCGGACCCACTTCTGTGGGACCCTCCAGGGACCGCCGGTGCAGAGCTGAGGCCCGACGTGGGCTCCCTTCCGCCGCACCCCACACCCAGACCCGAACCCAGGGGAGGCAGGCACTGCCCTCCTAGCTTTGGGGAGCCCAGATCCATGCTCCCGCTGCACCCCCACGCCCTGTGTGACCCTCCGCCTGTCTGCTCTCTGCCTGCATCCAGCAGCAGTCCTGACCTTGTGCTCAGCCCACTGGGCACACACCGCCCCTGCACGGGGACCCTGACGTCACTGGGACTCCCTCCACACCAGACTCCCGCGCTCCAGCTGCAGGTCCCAGCAAACAGCAGGCGCTCAATAAGTGTGTGCTGCCTGAATCTAGCGAACGTTGGATGAATTAGACTTGCAACATCTGGCTCCTCCGGCAGACGCATGGCTGCACCTGCCCCGGGGGTGCTGTCCACCCCAGCCTTTGCCTGGAACACCTGTCCCCGTGCGGCCCCATGTGTCAGAGTCCCGGAGCCCAGGCCACAGCGGAGCTGTCCACGCCCCTCACTGAGTCCAGCGGCGGCCCGCAGCCCTCCCCCGCCATGTGCCCTGCTCCGGTTCCCCCATGACAGCATGAGTCCTCCCTAGCCCGGCCCCAGGGCGGCTCTAACTGCTGTCACGAGCCTCCCAGAAGCCCAGGAGGGACGTCCAATTTCTGCGTCCATTTCACAGATGGAAAAACCGCAGCCCAGCCGGGTCCCACAGCTGTGGGCTGATGGCAGCCCGCACACAGGAGGCACCCCCGAGGCTCCTGCCCCCCACGGGGGGGCTCACGTCCCAGTGGGTGTTCACTGAGTTGATGAGGCCCACCTCCAGCTGCGGTTGGGAGCCACCAGTTACCAGGCGGGGAGCTGTGGCGGAGCTGGGGGACAGGCGGACCACAGACTGGTGACACGTGACCTGATCCCAGGTTCGGTGGCGCACACATGGCAACATTCACTCTCTCGCCCACCACTAGAGGGCAGAGGCCTGTCATTATGCCCATTTCACAGATGGGAAAACCAAGGCGAGCCAGCAGTGGCTTGTCTGATGGGGAGCAGAATGTGCTGGGATCTGACCAGAGCTCCATCCCGGGTGTGCACCCCAGGGCCCCGCCTCGGAACCCACAGGAGCCCCAGGAACAGAGCTGTATGGACTCCTGCGTCGCCGACAGGCCCAGGAGCTGGGCTCCACACTCCCCCAGACCCACAGCCAAGGTGGGAGGGCTCTGAGGAAGCCAGCCTGGACCCCTGCCACCCACGTGGGGACCCACATGGAGTTCCAGTCTCCTGGCTTTGGCCTGGCCCAGCTCTGGCTGTTGCCGGCATTTGGGGAATAAACCAGCAGGTGGATCTCCCTGCCTTTCAAATTAAAGTCAAGAGGGGGCCGGCACTGTGGCACAGTGGGTAAAGCCGCTGCCTGCAGCGCTGGTATCCCTTGTGGGCACCGGTTCGAGACCTGGCTGCTCCACTTCCGATCCAGCTCCCTGCTGGGGCCTGGGAAGGCAAGGGGAGATGGCCCACGTCCTTGGGCCCCTGCATTTTGGGAGATGCACCCACATGGGAGACCTGGAGGAAGCATCTGGCTCCTGGCTTCAGATCGGCGCAGCTCCAGCCGTGGCAGCCATTTGGGGAGAGAACCAGCAGATGGAAGACCTGTCTGTCTGTCTGTCTCTCTGCCTTTCAAATAAATAATCTTTAAACAAAAGTTAAGATCAAGAAGGCACACTGATGTTCTTACCCCGGCCTCAGAACGGACGCCTACAGGCCTGGCCTTCAGTCCCGTTGTGGTCAGAACAGAACAGCGGCTCCAGGAGCCAGGCTGTGCAGGGGCGTCCCAGGAGCAGAGCCCAACCGTGTCTCCCCCTGGAGAGTGGCCTGCGCAGGACCTGGGCCTCCCTCCAGCGAGGTGGTCAAGGAGCACAAGGTCTTGGGCAGCTGGGCTCCAGCCCACGACCCCCAAGATGGGCCCATCAGCCTGGGCTGGCCCACGTGCCTGCGGGAAAGGCCCTGGTCACCTGCTGAGCCTCCACCCTCCCCACCCCAGCCCACAGAGACCGGGCAGGAAGTCTTACGCCCTAGGAGGGGACACCTCCTCCAAGGAGACCTCTGGTCCTCCTCCAAGGAGACTCTAGGGCACAGGGGACATTTCTCTCTTCCCCCGACACCAGCCCCGGGAGGTGCCGAGAGCCGAGGGGCTGCCAAAGCACACAGCCTGGTGGGCACCCCCCGCCTCCTGACGGCCAAGCGGCCGGGCGCAGGGAAGCCCACGCCAGGGGGAAGCAGAGGCCTCTCTGGGGTCACCTGGTGCCCCGGGGACATTTATCAGGCCAGCACAGTCTGCCAGCACAGGAACTGTCCTGCGGCCTCCCCTGCTCCCACCCCAGCCTGCCGCAGCAGCCACGGCCCCACCCAGGCTTCGGGAGGTGGGGAGGGCCGGGGGCCGGGCCTCGGCCTGGGCAGCACCCACTTCAGCCCAACCCCACCCGGCCCAGGATGTGGCTTCTTCCACCTGCCCTGGGAGGCGGGCAGAGGAAGGGGGAGACCCTAGCGGGGAACCTCTCCTGCGCTCCCTCTCAGCGCGGGGCTGCACCTCCCCCCTGCAAAGGGCCCCCCTCTGGACCTCCCCCCATGCTCCCTCCCCCCCATGCTCCCTCCCCCACCATGCTCTCTCCCCGAAGTCGCGTCCCAGGCCCCCAGTGCCCCCCCCCAAGCGTCCTGTGAGTCAGCCTCTGTAACCAGGGCACACACTTCCTCCCTCCCAGGCCTCCCTGGGGACCCGTGGCCTGGGCAGCAGCCGGCTTGGGGGGGGGAGCGCCACATCCGGGTGGGCCCCCAGGGGCTCCAGGCCCAGCTCCCAAGGAAGTCCGCAGCCCAGCCCCCCCCACGACCCCTGAGAGGGTGGTGTGGGAGGAAAAATCTCCCAGCCATCTGCTCAGCAGCCGCGTTTCCGGCCGGGGCGGGGCAGGGCGGCCGCAGGCAGGACCTGCTCCCCCGGGGAAGTGTCTCGCTCGTGCCGGGCGGGAGGACGCGAGGCTGGGCAGCCCTGTGGCCAGCGGGACCACGAGTCCCGAGAGAGGAGCACCGGATGCCCGGGCAGCGGGGGCCAAGCAAGCAGGTGTCCGCTGGGGCCCACGTCCCACTGCCCGGTTTCCCCCAGGCCACAAGGGACCTCAAGTCCTTGGAAGCCAGGAAGCCGGGCTGCAGGGCTCTTGGGTCCAATCAGGCCTGACTCAGCAGGCGACCCCGGCTGAGTCACTTCCCCTGGGCAGCCCGCCCGCCTCAGTTTCCTCGGGGAGCTGGGAACCAGCGGTTGGCACTCCACCTCCAGGCCCCGTGAGAAGGGCGGCTCTCGGGGCCACACTGAAGCAGCTTCCTGCCCCGCCTGGCTAAGGATGCTGGGTGTCTTGGGGGGAGGGCCTGGGGACCATTTGCCCAGGAAACTTGGCGATGAAGCGCCAGTCCCTCTGGGCACGGAGAGCAGCAGCTCACGCTCGCTGGGGCCCCACTGCACAGGCGAGGAGGCCTGGAGCCCAGAGAGGCTAAGGCATCAGGTCAGGGTCACACAGCAACGACAGACTGTAGAGTCTGAGCCCCTCCGCTGTGCCAGGCTCCTATCTGTGCTGGAGCCGCCTGGGCAGGGAGGGCCAGCGGCCAGGCAACCTGCCCGAGGCCTTGCAGCTGGAAGCCCGCAGAGCGCAAGTTCAACTCCAAATACGCTCACAGACGCCCAGCAGTTGCCACAGAGAGGTCAAGTGCTCAGCCCGAGGATTCACAGCAAGCAGCCTCAGAGGCTGTGGGACGACACCAGTGGGCCCGAGGGCCTTGGCAGCAAAGGCAGCAACAGCAGCTGACGGGGGCAGCCCCCCGGGCCCCGTCTCCCCTTCCCAGGGCCAGGGGGTCCTGGGACTGGCAGCCGGGACGTGCCCCCCTCCCTGGAGCCTCCAACCCTGCTCCCCAGTTTCTGTCCCCGGGGAGGCTCCCCCCCCCGCCGGGCACAGCTGGAGCGATCCTGCACATCTGATGCATTTCAGAAAGTTTCATGGCTGCGGCCTGCGGCCTGGGCGCAGGGGCCAGGAAGGGGCAGGGCGGCCGCAGGCAGGACCTGCTCTCCCGGGGAAGTGTGTCTCTCTCGTGCCGGGCGGGAGGACGCGAGGCTGGGCAGCCCTGTGGCCAGCAGGACCACAGAGTCCCGAGAAGGAGGCCGAGCAGAGGTGACCTGGGCAGCAGCGAAAGCCAACCCCAGGCCCTCCTGTCCCCAGGCCGCACCGCCCTGGGTGCTCTGCGGATCCGCTCAGCCAGGGTGCCGGCGGTCCTGTGGTGGGTGCAGTCGTCAGACCCACTTCCTAGCGGGGAACGGAGGCCAGAGCCAGAGAGCGCCCTCCCCTCACCCTGCCCGGGGCTTCAGGACTCTCCCAGAGGGCGCCCACGGCCCACAGCCGGTAACAGCGCTATCGCCGGTGAGGCCGAGACGCGCGCGGCCACCTGTAGCTGAGCGGCAGGTGCCTTGCTCAGGCCGCAAACCTGTCAGCCCGCTGGACAGAGGGAGACCACCTGCCCGCCCCCGCTCAGGGGCGGAGGACTCAGGCGCCGGCCCCACCAGCCTCTCTTCCTCCTCCGCCGGCCCAGGCCAGCCCCTCCCCAGCGGCCCTGGGGGACCGGCCAGGAGCACGCACCCTGCGGCTCAGCAGGACTCTCCCTCCCACCGGGGGCTGTGGGAAAAGGCACGCAGCGAGCAAGCAGACCGATGACCGACCGCTCGACCTCCCTGCGGGCTGGGGGCCTTGGCCTCTGGTCCCCTGAGCCGGCTCGCCCCCATCAGGGCCAGGGCTCCAGGCCCCCGGGACGCCCTGGACCCGGCTCCACTCCAGCGGCCGGGTCACCGATGGGAAATCCAGACCTAACCCGGCCCGCGCCCCCCGGGGACATCCCCCTGCCCGCCGCCCCGGCAGGAGCCCGAGGCCAGGCTGTAAACGGGAGGCAGCCAGGTGTCAAGGATGCGCCACTTGGGCCGGCCCTCCCTCCCCCCTCCGCGGCCCCAGCTGCAGGCACTGACCTCCCCACCTACCTCGCAGTGGCCCGGGAATGGGGAAGAGAAACAGGAGAATGAGGAAACTGTAGGGAGCCGAGCGGCGGGCGGCCGGGCGGACCCCTCCCCAGTTCCTCAAATGCAGCCCACAGCCGCCCGCTGGTGCCCCCCCAGGCCGACACCCCCTCCTCGGCCTGGTGGGGTATTCCCTGGGAGTCTTGGGGGGAGGCCGAGGGTGGTCAAGGGGCCCCGGTTCCAGGACCCTAACCCGTGGGCAGTGCAGAGCGGGGCGGGGGCATCCCCCAGGCAGGGCCTGGGCTCCGGGGTCGGGGGGGTGCTGCTCCCTGCACGCGCGCACACGGCCTCAGGCTGACGCTTTCTCCCCAGACGGCGCCGACCCCGACCCCAGCCCCGACCTCGACCCCGACCCCGACCCCTCCTTCCCGGCTCCCGCCGAGGGACCGCTGTGCCTGGCCGGCTGGGCTGCAGGTAGTGGGGAACCCGCGGAGGGCCCTCCCTGCCTCGGCGCCCCCCGAGCCCGAGCCGGGCACGCTCAGGGCGGCTGAGGGCGCGCAGGGCCGGCCCCGGGGCCTCCCCTGCCCCGGGACGCCCCCAAGCCCGGCGGGCAGGCGGGCTTACCTGAGAGAGACGGGGCACGGGCCCGGCCGGCCCATGGCGTCGCGCGCCCCGGCCCCCCGAGACCTCGAGGGGGCGGGCGGGCCCCCGCCCCGGGCGCGTCGGCTCCTCGCTCGCCTCTCGCTCGAGCGGGGCTCAGGCAGGAAACCCCGGCTCGGAAGATGGCCAGAGCCTCATCATTTCCGCCGCCAGCGCCTGACAGTTGCGAGAGGATGCGCCCCCGGGACGCCGCCGGGACAACTTCGCTGCGGCCGCCGTGGCCTCCGCGGGCCGCGACAGTCCGGGCGGGCGGCCGGGCGGAGGCGGTGGCCCGGGCCCATGCCGCCCCGCGCCGTTATGTAAAGAGGAACCGGCTGTGCGAGCCGAGCCCGGCGTGGGAGGGCGGCGGGGCGGGGCCACGGGGAGCCACGCCCCGGCGAACCCGCGGCTCCCGGAGTGGGCGGGCCTGGAGGGGCGGGGCCGCCGAGAGCCACGCCCTGGCGAACCCGCTGCTCTGTGGAAGGGGAGGGACCAGGGGCGGGGTCCGAGGTGGCCCCGCCCACTGCCCAGCGCCTCCGCGGGGGCCGGGCCCTGAGATCCGGAGGTGCGAGCCCGGCGGGAGGCGGGGGTCTCACCGAGCCACGCCCACAACTCACCCACCAAATTTCGCGTCGCGCAGCCTAAAGAAGGGAAGGAACGGCGGGAGGGGCGGGGCAACCCGGGTCCCACCCACCCCACGCCTGCAGGCTACAGGGCGCCGCGGCGTGGCGGGGGCGGGGCCAGGCCGGGAGGCGGGGCCTGGGGAGGGGCCGCCGAGCTGTGCGGCCTACAGGGGGCGCACCCACCGCCGCCTCCCGCCCTGAGGGCCTTATCGCCGCCTGCCGGGCCCGGCAGCGCAAGATCAACCTGGACTTTCATCATCGCCTGGGGAGGGGGCCCAGCCCGCCCGCTCCCGCCTCTCCGCGGCTCCGCAGAGCCGACCCGCCTCGGCCTCAGCGCCCCCAGCCTCAGCACCGCTCTGCCGCGTCCCGAGCGCCTGAGCCCAGCGCCACGCCACTACCTGGCCGCGCCCCCCCTCCAGGAAGCCTTCCTGGACTGCTGCCCCGGGGCCTCTGCTCGCCCCCAGGCTACTCACATTTCTTCTAGGGCCTCCTGGAGCCCAGGCCGACCAGGCGGGTCTCCCCGGGGCGGCGTGGAGGTAGCGCAGCACAGGGGCGCCGGGAATGGCTGCGCTCCCCTCCCCCAACAGGAAACCAGTCGCCCACGCCCCCACTTGGAGGGGCCCGGTGCTCCTCCGACCCACCGCTCGTTGGCCTGGGCCGGACGAGCCGACTCCATCCCTCGAGGCCGAGGTGAGCGCGCGCCCGGCGCCCGGGCGGTCGGGGAACTGAGCGGCCCGGGGTCCCGCCCCCCGCCCGCAGGAAGGGGTTCCCCAGGTGGTGGGGGTTTCCAGCCCGGTGACCTTGCAGACCCGAGAGTGTGCTGTTCCAGGGACGTGTTGAACACCTACTTTGTGCCGAGCACTGTTCTAGGTGCTGGGGGCCCAGCAGGGGCAAAGCCAGTACCCCTGCCTTGCGGTGAGGGGACACGGGGCGCTCGGAGACCAGGAAGTGGCTGGGGGAGGGGCAGCTCCCGCTGTGGCCTGGGTAGCCGCGGGGACGGCCCACGTGCTCGGCCCTGCACCCGCCTGGACACCCGGCTCCTTCGGGCATCTCCGCAGAACGAATGCTGAACAGGGCACCTGCCCGGACAGGGCCCCAGGCCGTCCGGGGGAGGGGAGGGCAGGCGATTCCGGGAGCAGCAGGTGCGGGGGTGAGAGGGGAGACGGGAAAGGCAGGCCCGGCTCGCGGGGTCCCAAGGGCCCCGGGGGGGAGGAGTCTGGGCCGCGCGCAGCCGCCCCTCCGAGGGTGCGGGCAGGAGGACCCACCCTGGCGACCCCTGCGGGAACCTCCGGCCTCTGAAGACGCGGGGCGAGGGGGGAGGGGGCCGAGGGGGTCCACACTGACGGCCTCAAGCCGCAGGTAGGCTGGGCCGCACGGAGGCCGGGAGAGCAGCCGCTTCCCCGCGCCGCACGGCCGCCGGGGCACCCCCAGCCCGTGCCAAATGGCTGCTGCGCCGCGCCAGCCGCAAGCACTTTCCCTCTCGCCGCCCAGACGGCAGCTCCGCTGACTTAAACGGGGACTTGCGGTTGTTCCCCTTTTAATCAGGCTCGGGCCCGGCCCCTGCCGGAGCCGCTTTCCCTCGGACAGGCGCAGGGTTCCCACCCACGCGCGCCCCGCCCCGCGCCGCGCCGCCGGGGAGCCGCGGGTGCGCCGGGCAGAGGGCGGAGAGGGGGCGTCAGGTGCAGCTGAAGGGGCCAGCGCCCGGGGCCTGGCCGCTACGCGGGCCGGGGAGCCCCGGGGCCAGTGGCCACGAGCGAGTCAGTGTCCCCGTTCCCAAGGCGGGAGTAAGGACCACCGAAGCAGCAGTGGTCAGTGCCATGAGAGCGGACGGGCCGCCGAGTTCAGCACAGCGCTGCGCGCTGATCCACGCTGCCACCGTGCTTATTAACATAACAATAGCAACGACAGCCAGAGGGAGCCACAGAGGACTGGTGATCAGGTCACCATGGTGATGTAACCCCAGCCTCCAGCTGCTGCGCTGGGCTCCCTTTGGGGTGCGCACAGGGCCGGAGCTCCCAAGGATGCGGATTTGTGGAGAGCGTCATGCGGCAGACGGAGTGCGATCCAGGGATGCAGTCAGGTGCAGAGAGAGGCAGGCGACACAGAACCACCCACGGGAAAAGCACAAAGTCATGGGCGGCTTCCAAGGGCGTGGATGTGGGGAAGCAGCTGGGTGTGTACCTGCGCTTGCTGTCAAGGTTCCTCGTCGTGCGGCCTTTGGTTCAGCGTGCTCAGATTTTTGAACTACATGCAGTTTCTTTCCTTTCCCTTTTTATTTTAAGATTTATTTATTTGAAAGGCAGAGTTACAGAGAGACAGAAGCAGAGTGGGGGGAGGAGGTCTTCCATCTGCTGGTTCACTCCCCAACTGGCTGCAAAGGCCAGAGCCATGCCAGTCCGAAGCCAAGAGCCAGGAGCTTCTTCCGGGTCTCCCACTTGGGTGGGTGCAGGGGTCCAAGGACCTGGGTCATCTACTGCTTTCTCAGGCCACAGCAGAGAGCTGAATGGGAAGTGGAGCAGCCGGGACTAGAACTCGGTGCCCATATGGGATGCCAGCACTGCAGGCGGCGGCCTTACCCACGACACCACGGTGCTGGCCCCTACATGTTTCAATACATGTTTCAAGCCATATTGTATTTGGGATTTTTTTTTTTTTTTTTGACAGGCAGAGTGGACAGTGAGAGAGAGAGAGACAGAGAGAAAGGTCTTCCTTTTTCCGTTGGTTCACCCCTCAATGGCCGCTGCGGCCGGCGCACCGCGCTGATCTGAAGCCAGGAGCCAGGTGCTTCTCCTGGTCTCCCATGGGGTGCAGGGCCCAAGCACCTGGGCCATCCTCCACTGCACTCCCTGGCCACAGCAGAGGGCTGGCCTGGAAGAGGGGCAACCGGGACAGGATCCGGCGCCCCGACCGGGACTAGAACCCAGTGTGCCGGCGCCGCTAGGCGGAGGATTAGCCTAGTGAGCCGTGGCGCCGGCTGGGATCTTTTAATATAAGGGAACTGTTCCCCTTTACTTGTATTGTTTATGTAGCCTCTCACGCACTGGAGGTTGATTAACAGACCTTCCCGTTGGCTCAGACGGGATTGGCAGCCAAGACCAACAACAGGATGGGAATGGTGATGACACGGGCACCACCTCTGGCAGGTGTAGGTTAGAAGATGAGTACCACGGGAGACCCGCTCACATCTGGTGATCACGTAACGGTTCTCCACCGTATACAGTGGCGTATCACGAGCGCATGATGGAACCCGGCACCCGAGACGTGGCCAGGGTCCTGTGGGCGCTGGATTTGTGACTTTAATGCGTGTGCGCGTGTTAAAGTGTCAGTGACCCTGCGTGTGTAGTGGCCCCTGCATGGGATGCACTCAGCTCTGACTGGTCCATAAGTGAAGTCACTCGGCCATCACAGCAACCTGCGGGCGCCAGGGCGCCGGGTGGGGGAGGCTCGTCCGTCTCTCCCCCTTCCAGGGCAGGAGGGCAGAATCTGAGAGACGGGACGCAGGTGATGGATGAAGAAGGGTGACCGGTGAGGAAGATCTGTGATGTTAGTGGACGTGAGGGGCGTGTGAAGGTGGCTGAAGCGTGGCGGCCAAGCCAGCCCAGCCAGGGGACAGAGACGGCGGCGGCCGGCTCTCAGGTCTGGACCACGTGTGAGAAGTGAGGAGGCCGGGGCTGGGTCGCTCTCCCAGCTGGCCGGCGGCTACCACTGGAGCTTTCCACGCTGACACCCCATCTCGGCCCTGCCCTGCGCCTCCAGCGTGTCCCCAGTCTGTGAAATGGGTCCAGCAGGCGTTGAGCAAGGGCAATGACATGTGTCGGGGTGTCCAGCACGTGGTGTGCCCAGAGATAACTGGGGCTGGGCTCGTGTCCCAGCATGGAAGTCGCTGCTTAGGCCGCCCGCACACTCTCCTGGGGTCTGGTCCCAGTCCCGGCTTCCTGCTAACGCACCCCGGAGGCAGCAGGTGATGGCTAAGGAGCTGGGGTCCCTGCCGGCCACGGGGAAGACCCCAGGCTCCTGGCCATGGCTTGGCCCAGCCCTGGCTGTTGTGGGCATTTGGGGAGTGAACCAGCGGATGGGAACGCCTCTCTCTCTTCCTTCCAAATAAAAATGGGGGAAGAGAGAGCGAGCTTTGGGGCACACTGGACTCAGCATTTCTGCACCTGCTGTTCCCTGTGCCTGGGGTGCCCTTCCACCAGGTGTCTCCAAACTCACTTCAGTCCGTCCCAGGGGGCTCTGCTCGCCACGGCTGACCCTGCCCCCCTCCTCCCCCCACCCCTGCCGGGTCACACTATCACTGTCTGCCCTCCCCAGCTCAGCCCCACAGGCTAGGACCCCTTGTCCGTCCCGCCCCCTCCTGTGTCCCCGGCACCTCCCCTGCACAGGGGCGCCTCACGCCCCATCCCTGGAGCAGGGGCTGGGCTCCATGGCTCCCTTCTAACGAAGGGTACCCGGCGGAGACTTGGTCATCCCCGTGCTGCGGCTCCTCCTGGCTCTGTCCGAAGCTGTCCATGGCAGGGACGGCCCAGCAGCTCTGCAGACGGGCTGGCGGGGGAGAGTCGGAGGCCTCCTGCACCCTCCAGCACAGAACAGAGAGCTCGCCCGGGGGTGCCACGTGCACCGGGAGCGCCTGGCCAGGCCCGGCTTTGGGCAAGGGCCGCTCAGGCACGGGGCTCCCAGTCGCCAGCTCCTGGGGCCGGGGCGGGGGGACCTGGCTGCCTCTCTGGAAGCAGATGCC